TCCTGAAGATGTCGGCACCATGTGACGAGCAGATGCTGCACGCAAAACCGATGCATGACGAACGGAGTCATCAGTCCTAAGTGCTGAGCCTACAAGGAGAGAGTTATTAATGGGGTGGGGAGGGGGGGGAGAAAAAGTATGTGAAGGAGAAAGAGGGGAGGCGTCAGCAGTAGACTGTTTTCGCTTACCCGCCCTGCTGTATGCAGCAAGTAAGGCGACCCGGCTGATGGCACCACGCGATGGCCGATGTGGCATGAGTTTATTTGTGTATGTGCTATTCATGGTTGTACGTGGGCCGGGATACTGCCAGGGCGCCCATACTTAGACAGGAGGACGATTAGGGTCCTCAACCAAAGCCTCTGGCTCAAAAGCCTAAACGTAAGGCAGTGGTGTTTGGCGGGAAATGCAAATGCATTGCCATTTCTACGGAACAAGTCGCTACGTGTTCCAACCCCCAACCTGGAGGGCCAGGAGACTGTGTTCATCAGACCTCTAACCATTGACCAACTTGGTATGAGAGACTCTGTGAGTGTCGCGGGACACTCCAGTATAGCTCAATGGATCGCTGAGCTGCGCAAACCGTCACACCACGGTAAGGTCCAGTCCCTTCGTGACGGCGAGGTGGCATCGTCAGTGCGGGATTGAGTGGGTCCGATTTTGAATGATCCTACTGGTGATTTGATGCGTGCTTAAGTTACGTTTAATCTATCACTTAGCTCGTACTGGTGGAGGCAACTAGCACAAAAAGATGAGCCGACCCAATCAGAGCGCCAGCAGTGGAGTTAACCAGGAAAGACTGGATGTTTAATTAGCTTAGAGACAGGCAGCCGAATGGATTCTAAAAATTCCTTTCGGCGATCAAAATCGGACTGCTATTGATCAGTAAGACCGTGCCACTCAGTAAATCCGGCAGTCGTTGCCCAACGGCTACATATCTTCATGAAGCATGAGACGCATTAGGGAAGCGTCGCAGTTTCCCCATATTTTGTGTATTATGGGTGTTAGTACTAAAGTTAACCCCCGATCTTCGGTTCTCACTTTACCAACGAAATGGGCGTCTCAAAGTGGAGCAATAAGGCACGAGGTGCCCAAGTTTTCGTTTTTTATCTCCTGATTTAGCCTGACATGTGTGGGAAGGCAATATTATATGCAGTGAGGAACTACTCAGTTTCAACGGCGGATCGGGATCAAGCATACAGTAACTGTGCCATATATATATATATATATATATATATATATATATTACCCCCTCAGGTATAAAAGTGCTGACAGTCACTCTAATCTT